GCCGCCATCGCAGCCGCGGTGTCTGCGTCTCGTCAGAGCCAGGCCAACATCAGCGCCCAGAAGCCTGCACAGGTCGGCGGCTCGGGGTGTGGAGCAGGGGAGCAGCAAAGCGGCTGCAGCCCCACGGAGGTGGACGGCAGCAGGGTTCCCGTGAAGTCTCCGGTCCAGGAGCCAGAAAAGGGTTTGTCCAGGACCAGCTCCATCCAGCAGCTGGAGCACTGGGTCCATCCGCAGAGGAGAGGCCTGGACGATACCCCAAAGAGGTGAGCAAAGCAACCTTTCATTCACTGCATTTAAAACTTTAACAAACAGGAAAAATTCAAAATACACCGTTACACAAGTAACATGAGTATGTTTAGATAACCTGTGTGCTCACATATTGTGCTGGCATGTTCTTCCATCCTGACCTCCTTCAGTGTTTCCCTTACAGTTGTTTTAAGGACCACACAGTTGTTTGTAAATTCGAATTAGGAGGAGGCCGTTTACATGGAAAGACCATCTCTGAATGGAGGAGGGGCCTAAGGGTCCATCTGCTGTGACTGCAGCCATTCCCCAACTCTCTGTGAATGGGACTCATGGTTATTGATCAGTGGTTGTTGATCAATGGTCATGCATATTAATGATCATAGACTGACCTCCCAGCCCATTGTTCATCAGTGCTGCTGGTTTGAGTCGTCGTCCTGGTTATAAGGTTGGAAACCTGCCGTCAGCTGGACTGAAGACGTCACCTGATGATGAAGAAACGTTTCTCAGGGCTGGACTCGCCATCGGTGGGCCGCTCGTCATTTTTCGTTTTTATGGGCCGATGGGGTTTTATGTCTTTTCTTTTAACGGTATAAATGAACGGTGGTGGATTGGCCAGTTGGTCATGATCAACTCTGGGCTGGACCAATTACAGCCGAGGAGGTCGAACTTTAAAGTTGAGGCGGTTTGTCCCGCACTACTTCAGCTAGAAAGTTGATAATTCAATCATGAAACTGATCAATGATCAGCTGATCGGCTTTTCTCTGCGCCAGAAACAGGAAACCGGCGGA